TGGTAGCTTGACGTTTTTAGAAAATTGTAAATTTTGAATACTAATTTTTATATTTGATCAATTTTTGAATTCACAATGCTATATTGAAAAATGCTTAAAATCTTCACAAACAAACAAAGTTAATTTTTTAAGTATTTTTCATTAAGAATATCATATTCTAATTCCTTATATTTTCACGCGAACTGTTCATTTCTGTGGAACACTGAACCTGTAAAGCATCCAAAATGTCATTAAATCAAATATAAACTCGCTACATCTGTTCAAAATAGTTTTATTGAATAAATTTGTACTTATATGAAAATAATTATCAATATATTTTTACCTATCTCTATCAACGGCCAGCTACACAAAATTCCACCTCCAATAACGGGATATAATTATTATGAGACCTTGTATTGCAACATTTTCAATATTGTGTTTCCATTACTCTGGGCGTGTTATAGCAGTAGTATTTGTATTACGAACTGTCATGTTAATGAACAAATTTTAATACTTCAATGTATTGTTGTTATTATATATAATTTAAAACTGCATTTATGTATTGTTAATAATAAGTTATTTTATGTAACTTATGTTTAAAAAAAGGTGTTTTATATTAATGTTTCAGATAAAGGAATATTGCCAGCAGAGTGCAAAGAGACTGCCGATGTTTTAATGTTTTTCGACGATTTGTTTGACTCGTTTAATGGCAGCTATGACAAATCAAAGAAAAAGTCTGGAAAAAATCTTCTTGGGCCAGTTACTCCCACATCAAAACATGTGGAAATATGGAGAAACTCAAAAGAAGTTCTGAAGAGTATGAAATTTATAACCAAAGAAGGAAGGCAGGGTAGTGTACCTTCAATAAATAATTGGATACGGACTATTGATAACGTAATAATACTAAAAGATATTTTATTTGATAAATATAATTTTAAATCCATCTGGATGCGCCATTTTAATCAGGATCCCCTAGAAAACTTTTTTTCTTGCATCAGAAGCCATGGGTACAGAAACATTTCTCCGACTTGCACAGGGTTTGAAGCAGCGTTTATATCATTACTTATAAGTAATATAAACAACAATTCACAATATTCAAATTTTGAAAATGATAATTGTAAATTTGAGTCGATGACAAATTTATTAAAAAGAGAGAATTGTAATTTTAATGAACAAATAGAGATAGATTTTGATGATTTAAACTGTGAAATTGTAAATTTTGAAATGAAAAAAGGGGATCCAAAAATTTTTGCACAAATTAGTTACGTATCCGGTTATATATTGAGACAGGCAAAAAGAAAAATTTTCAAAAGTTGCAATGTATGTAAAACATTCTTTTACAACAATGAGAGTACAGATGGTTATATAAGTAGAAAAGAATACGAAAAATCAAGTAAAAGGCTAACCTATCCTTCCGAGGAATTCATTAAATTTTTTTCTGAAATGCAGGATATAATTAGTCACATACTTACTAAAAAAAGTCATATAAGTAACTTAAAATTATATTGTCGAACTTTAGTATATGCATTAACGAATACAAATTTTATAACTTGCAAAGATCATAAAGAAATAGTTAGTGATTTTATTATAGACTTAACAGCCAGATTTTTTTTTTGTAACTGGTGCCGTGACGTTAATAAATTATTAAACGGCACCAGGTTAGAATTTGATGTTGTTGATGATATAAAAAAAAATGAGTATTGATTATTATAAGAAGAGAAATAAAAAAAAAATCAGTTTAATTGAATCATGGTTTTATTTTTAATCTTTCTGACTGTGTTTATTCACAATTATTGCAGATAATTTTCTGTAACGCGAAAACAATACAAACATCTATAGATAAAATTATCGGCAATATTGTGAATAAACACAGTCAGACTTCTACAAATAAACAGAAAATTGAGCCAGCTATGGCTACCTATCAATTCAGCTTATAGGTATGTATATATTGGTATATATAAATATACGTACTATAGAAGTTAAAGTTTTTGTCATAGATTGACAGATGGCGCTGTTCAGTTGGTCTGACTGACATTTCTTTAACTACTATATAATATACTCTATGTTTATGATTCTCAGTATAAAATAGTTCAGAAAGTAAAACTCCCTCCAGAATCATCTGTTTATTCAAGATTACTGGCAATAAATAAAATGCGTGCATACAGAGAATATTATCTTTATTTATAGATAAAGTTACCTGTGGCAGTCACCATCACAAAAGGAAGAGAAAGCGAAAACATATACAAGGACAAACGTAGACCACAGACTATTTCAATAAAGATAATGTTTTGGCATATTCAAAGCTTTAGAATATAATAAAATCATGAAACTTAAACCTTTAATAATATTTCCAGATTCGAAGAGCGCTTTATACTACACTCTATAGAAAAATTTCCGTATAAATTAAAATGTTATTCTCCCGTTATTTTTAACATCGGACAAATGATACAAAAATGTATTGAAACGAAGTTTCCAGAGAATTTAGCTGGATTCAAGCTTATGATGGTATACAGGCTAATATTATAGCTGATAGGCTTGCTGATGAAGCGGTATCGTGTGAAGTGATTTATATCCTTTTCAAAACTATTGTTCATATTTATTATCAATGAGAAAGTATTAAAAAAAAACGAAAACACTAAAAAAGCACCTCCACTAGATGGCGACTCTAGCAAAAGTTGATTTTTGCAGGAAACGAATGGACCAAAGGCAGTCATTTCCGTTCCTTTTAAATAACATATTAAAAAACTGAAATTTGAAAAGTTCGAAACTTAGATATCAATACAAATACGAAAAATTACAAATAGAATATGAGTTGTTAACTGAGTTTTGAAAACTGATTTACTTTTAAACATGAAAGAAAACCGGAAGGATTGTAATGGAGAAATCAAGAAAGTACTGTAGCGACATCTAGTTTGATTTCCGGAACTAATGTTTTTTTCCAAATTTTTCCTCATTCCAAAAGTAATATTAGGCGAGAAATGAAAACAAACGTCAGTAAATTGACAAAAGGTAAATTTTATGCTTAGATACAAAATCATATTCTTTTGAAACCCTACTTTTTCTTAATACAGTGTGGCGAGCTAGAAATTACACGTATGAGACTTGTTCCGTTTCTGCGTCATCTCATCTTGCTAAACTCCAAATAACAGGTCTACGATGAAAAAGTTTTTTTGAGAATTTTAAGTATAACTTGCACATGTTGACGTACATAATGCAAATATAAACTTTTTTTTATTGTAACACGTCACATTTTTTTTTATCGACATATTATATTTATAATAAATTTTTCATACACCTTACAAATGAACCTCGACCATTTAGACAGATTACCCAAAGATGCTGCAGAACTAGTCGGTTCACGCTTAAAAGAGAACAATTTATTGGATGCCGAGACGACATTTTAGTGATATCGAAAAAGAGAACCAGATTTTTACAGAATTTCAATATAGAAGTTAGTTTGGTATTTTGCTGTGATATTAGCGGCTTAATACAAAAATTTGACATCGAATAGAAAGCAGAAGAGTGTGGAGACTTTTTATAGATTCTTCAAAGAGAAGTTTAAAAGATGTTCTCTTACATATTGGCAATAAATTTGCATCAATACCTGTAGCTCACTCAGTTCGTCTTTTCAGTTATGCAAACATGAGAACTGTTTTAGAGTACATAAAATACTCAGAACACAAATGGTTCATTTGGGGAGACTTTTAACTCATATGTTTGCTTCTTGGTCAACAGCACACAGGGTACACAAAATTCCCGTATTATATTTGTGAATGGGAAAGTAGATCAAAAAACTTACATTGGGAAATCTCTGATTGGCGTATTAGACCAAAATTGGAGGTTGGAGTAATCATAAAAGTATTGGAACAGAAATGTCAAATGCCTATAAAAACTTGGGTTGTAATACGGTTTGAAAGTCCATTTTTTGAAATCTCATGTTAATGTTTTCCCAAAAAATTTAGGCGATTACAGTCCATCAAAATATAAAAGAGATGGAAAGAAGATTTGAAGGCCGTTGGGACGTTAATATGATGGCGGACTATTGTTGGATGATATGTAGAGATGAAATAAAAATTCATAAACAAAAAACCAACTAAACGCAGTTTCCTTTCAAAGAAAACACGTTATTGATTATTTATTTTTTATTCGTATTTTATTTTACTCTTTTTTATTTCATTCAAACTCAATAAAGCTTATTAAATTGTAAAAAAAGCATTTTCATTATTTTTTAAAAATTTTGACTTGTAGTTATCTATATGCTAATATTATACCATGTAAATCTGGGAAGTGTGACGTGATATATACTAAATAAATGCTGTTTTATATTATTTATTACGTAATTATAACGAATAAGAACAGTTTATGAAAAAAACTTTTCAAAAAATTAATTTCGCAGACCTGTGTAATCGACGATCCTGGGTGTGACTGTGGATCAGATGAAGGAACAGTTGATGATATTGTTTTCTCCTGTCCTAAATTTCAAACATCCTTTCTCTAGCATCCCTTCGTGTTCCATTCCCGGGGCCTAATTGTCTAACTTTAAAATCTTTCGGTTTGAAAGATGTTGTATAACCATTGCTTGTTTCTGAAGACAGTTGAAAAAAAAGTATTTGTATTATGCAGCAATGGTTATGCAACACCTTTCAAACTGAAAGCGATTGCAATAGATTTAAAATTAGACAATCAGGGGGCTGATTTACATAGCTACACTATAAGATACTAATGATCAATATATTATAAATGTATTATATTAGTCCTGATCCCATTCTTCCTTCTCCGATTTCCTTCCTATTTGTTTCCCATTTTTTTTAACTGACAGCAAAATGCAATGCAAAAGTCGTGCCTGTCATACTAATATAAATAAAAATATATTGTAGCCATAGACAATGTTTTGACGTCTGACGCAGCTATTTTTTCTTTTGAAATTACGTTGGTAGTCCTGTTGCTATCGTCATTTTTGTATATGCGAGAAGCTGTATAGGGTGATATTTTTTTACTCATAGGAGGCACACATTAGTAAGAAAGAGAAAGTAGATTTAATTTGGCTTACGTACCTGCAACTGACCTAAATATTTTCTTCAAAGCTTATTTTCGACGTTTCTCATTGTCTATGCTATAGATACGCATTCTGAGCGATACATATTGTGGTGTTAACTATAATTTGTCAAATGTATAGTAAAAATGAAGGAAGACACAGTACTTAAGTGGCAAAAAGTCTACAATCCTACTGGCCCGCAACCGCGTCCTCGCCATGGTCATCGGGCGGTCGCCATTAAAGATTTGATGATTGTTTTTGGTGGCGGAAACGAAGGAATCGTTCATGAACTTCATGTTTTCAATACCACCACAAACCAATGGTTCGTTCCTGTTACAAAGGGAGAAGTACCTCCAGGATGCGCCGCATACGGTTTTGTGGTCGACGGCACAAGACTTTTGGTGTTTGGCGGTATGGTTGAGTACGGCAAGTATTCTAACGATTTATATGAATTGCAAGCATCCAGATGGGAATGGAAACGTTTAAATCCATTACCACCGAAGCAGGGTCTTCCACCATGCCCTAGGTTAGGTCATAGTTTTACTCTTTTAAATGGAAAGGTATATTTATTTGGAGGTTTGGCTAACGAAAGTGATGACCCGAAGAATAATATTCCTCGGTATCTCAATGATCTTTATACTTTGGAACTGTACCCGAACTCATCAATGACTGTGTGGGATATACCTTTGACGTATGGTCAGTCCCCACCACCACGAGAGTCACATAGTGGAGTAGCTTATACAGACAAAAACTCTGGTAAATCATCACTTATCATTTATGGAGGAATGAGTGGATCCCGTCTCGGTGATCTGTGGGTGTTGGATGTAGATAGCATGTCCTGGTCTCGTCCTGAAGTAGCTGGACCTGCACCTTTACCTCGTTCATTGCACACTGCCACTGTAATCGGACACCACATGTATGTTTATGGTGGATGGGTACCACTTGTATCTGATGAATCAAAACTTGCTACCCATGATAAAGAATGGAAATGCACAAATACACTTGCTTCTCTTAATTTGGAAAATATGACATGGGATAGCATTGCTCTAGACAAGTTCGAAGAATGTGTACCCAGAGCACGAGCAGGCCATAGCACTGTTGCCATTCAAACAAGACTTTATATTTGGTCTGGCCGGGACGGCTACAGGAAAACTTGGAATAATCAAATTTGCTGCAAAGATCTTTGGTATCTCGAGGTTGGTGTTCCACCTCAAGCTGGACGTGTGGCACTTATACGTGCTGGTACTACATCATTAGAGTTATGTTGGCCTGCAATGAACACTATCACTACATATGTTTTGCAAGTACAGAAATGTGGTAAACTGGCGCCAGCGCGATTTCCTTCTGCCGCAGAGCCAGTGACTGTGCCTCCTCCCGCCTCCCCAATCACTCCGCAACCTGACGCCGCCACCAAAGCATTTGAAGTGACATCGCCTGTATCATCAGGATTAGCTCAGACACCGGACCTACCTGTACGCCCTGTTGCCGCTGCGGTGTCACCTGCTACACCCATCGTTACTACGCCGCAGAAAATATTACCAGTCAGTATCAAAGTACCTTCCCAAATTGCTGGTACAGTCAAATTAACGCCCAATACTCCGATGCTGCAACAGTCGACATACCAAAGCAAAAGCGTTGTCAAATCACCAGCTGCAGGGTCTTCCCAACAAATTAAAGTGGCAACCATCATACCTCAAGGCGTCACTAGAATTGGAAGTGGCGTATCGACGCCGACCACTGTACGCGTTACCACAGCTCACTCGAGTCCACAAATAGTTGTAGGCACCGGCACTTCAACAGGCACCCCTAAATTTGTCCAAGTAAAAACTGGTGGCAATGCTGGGGTCCCAGTCAAACTCAATGCTGCCAATGTCCCAGTCAAGCTGATGGGTAATCCAGTACCACTCAAAATTGGAACTGCCAACGTGCAAGGCAAGATGAATACAAATAGTGTTCAGAAGATTTCACAAGTGGGCAGCTCAAATGTTCCTCTAAAATTTGGGGTGGGTAATGTTAAGATAGGCACCAGTAATGTTCTTGTGAAAACCATGGGCGGTGTACCTATACAAGCAGGAGCAGCAAATATACAAACAAAAGTAGCAGCTGGAGTGCCTGTCAAACTCGGGGCTGGAAATCTTCCAATGATTGCCAGTAGTGGAGGTACAATCCAGATCACAGGCAGTGCTTTAGGTCAGCAAGTGAAACCACCAGTGTATAAAATCGTAACAGCTAAATCTAATGAACAGACAGGTGCTGTTGTCACATCTGCAGTAGCAGCAGGAGCGACAGTTTTACGACAAGCGACTGGAAACTCTGGAATACCAGTTATAATAAAGAAAACTGGTGCTAACCCTCAAGCAAACAATGCACCTCAGTATGTCACGCTGGTAAAGACGTCTACGGGAATGACGGTGGCGACTGTTCCTAAGGTGGCGATGGTGCAAAATAGACCCGCTGTTCCTGTTAGTGTGGCTCTAGGACAGAATATAGCTTCAGGAACAACAATTGTCAAATTGGTTACTGCAAACACAGTAGGTGGTAACAAAATCATAACACTGCCTTCAAATATGCTGCAACTGGGTAAATCTGGTGTAGGGGGTAAGCAAACTATTGTTATCACCAAGTCGGCGAGCCAAGCCGCCTCCTCCAGTCAGGCCCAGTGAGCCATCTATATGTTCTCATTGTGATGTCAGAGTGGTATGTGCCGAATCAACAGTATGTTAATGCTAATGATATGATAATGATTCAAAGCAGTGGTATTCTAGAATGTAAATTTAATGTGAAACATTGATAGTGAGTCTGTTGAACTAAAGTATTTTTTAAATAATAATTATAATAGAATATGAGTTTTTGTATGTTTCATGGGTCTGTGTTGAAAGTGTCCTCATAGTTTTTTCTAAAATATTTTATTTAATATCTTAATAGAATAAAATATTATTGCCTATATACATACAGAATTGTAAACCACTTTAGGATCTGTCAATCTAACTATAGCTATAATTTTATCATATTAAGCACATTTTTTTATACACTGAATTTTTACATGACTGCCCAAAAAGGAGTATATTATGTTTCTATAACTGAATTTTTAATTATTATATTTGATCAATTTTGCACAATGTTATACAGAAAAATATTCTTAATGAAAAATGCTTAAAAAATCTACCAGCTTCAGGTACCCCGAGATGGGACTCGAACCCACGACCTTTTGCATCCGGGCTACTGTTCTAATCACTGAGCTACTCCAGATCCAACAACATGTTTTGCATGCTTACTTGTTATACATTTACTTATGTACGTATTGAATGAAGAAAACTGGTGCTAACCCTCAAGCAAACAATGCACCTCAGTATGTCACGCTGGTTCAATCCGACGATTTCTTCTCTTTTCTTATCTTGTGATGTCCTGTCCTTTCATTTCGTGTCGTGTCCGTTAGAAGTGTAAATAAATTCGATCGCCCATCTAATTACTGACCTTTTCGAACGTCGCTTAACTTCAGCAATCGCAGATCAAAATCAAAATTATTTATTCAGTCTAGGCTATTACAAGCACTTGTGAAAGTCGAGAGCTACGCCATCGGTTCGTAAATCTACGGCGGGAGACATTTTACCAAGAAAAACCGGCAAGAAACTCTGCAAGGGCTACTTTTTTCTCCCTGTTTAAGAGCCATATTACTTCTCAACTGTGATTTTTGCATGATTTTTCTCGGATACAAAAATAAATTAACAATTTTGACTTGTTTAATAGTGAAGAATAACTCTTGGTATAGAAGTAAGTGGCGTTACTTTTTGTAAATTTTGCTCATCTTTTTAATTAAACCCAAAATACCAGAGAAAGATTTTCATAAAATGCGCAAAGGCTCTTTTTTGAGCTCCTGGATTGAGCCACTGTTCTTAACAAACGAAATAAAAGAAATAGAATGATATCCCTTATATCCGTACCAGGCGTGAATAACTTAATAAGTCAAAAATGCACATTTTTCAGGGCAGCCATTTCTAATTTTAATTTTTTTCTGTAAATTCAGATTTTATGTTATTAAATATTTTTTTATCTCAATGTAATTCATTTGCTTTGAGTTTTCAGATAACTTATGATTATTTAATGAATATACCCTATTTATAATAAAAAAATGACATATCAAGTTGTTCACCAATGAGTTATCAAGTTATTCACCTAAGTACCTACTGTAAGTACGTATGTAAAAAAATAAAAGTAATAAGACGTATAATCTCTGCCTGCCTCTTATGGGACTGAAATAGTGATATTATGTAAGTAGGTATGTATAGATAGTAAAAAAACTAATAATTGCAAAATAATTATTTTTATTTCAAAAACAAATTTATCGAATTAGTTGAATTCGTCTCCCTCTCCTTCTGCATCAGGGTCTTCGAAGTCTAAATCAGGATCGATGTTGGATACGTCACCGTCAGTTTTTAATAAAATTCGTGAAAAATAGGATCTATAAGTGGCAATAAATCCATCAAATCCTTCTTTTTTTCTTTACTTATTGGTAAAGTCTCTTTACCTCTTTTCCTGTAATTTATGACTCTGAAAGGGCTTTCATTGTCAAAATTTGTCTTAAAACGTATTTCTCCGATAGGCTTCTTATACTGCAGCCATTTCACGGGTTGCCATAAAAATTTTTCACCACAAGCATCCTTTTTTTTAATAGTAAATGGACCTTTCTTCGAACTCAATTCTGCAAAATTGAGAAAATTGTCTAGTTTCATGGGTACAATGGCAAATGCGTTATTAATCTTGCAAGATCTTATCAGTTGCATCCAATCGTTAAGATGGTTTATTTTAAGCTGCGTTTTCTTTTTAGTCCTTTCAATTAGGGCATGATCCGAGTCACATTCCATGTGGCTATGTCCGCTAATCAAAAACTTATGATTGATTGTCTCCAAGGTTGGATGCACATGCAATAAATACATGAACATCATTGCAACAGCATTATTTTTATTCTGGCCACCACACGTGTCAGAATAAAATGTGACCTCTGTAACTTCACGTGGCAAATTTTGTAAAAAATGCCACAAACACGAAGCAATTTGATTCGCTCCTCGAGCACCGATGGTTTCGTCCCACATGTAACAAGTAGCTTTATCATCTCTTAAGTTATGAATCGTAAGATTGTAAGACCATAGTTGTCTCTTATAAAAAGAGACAGACGTTTTCAGGAATGGCGTAGGTAAGCATTGCTGAAGATCAAATGCATATGCTCGAAAATTTGAACTGCGCTTTGCTTCATCTTTATCCTTTCTTTTTTCTGCATAAGCGTTTTCGGCTTGTGATTGATGCTCTCTCAGCTCCACTATAAAGTTGGTCTTTTCCTCTCCTTCTGTTAACGCTATCTTTGTATTCAAAAGATCGCATGTGTGGCAAGTATCTTTAGCCGGTTTTTTGAATGATAAGTTTAAATCGTGAAAACACTGGGAATACAATTTAAGTGAAATAGGATTTGGGCAACTTTCTTTATACCGGGTGTTACAAAAATACCCGTTATAGCTGAAGGGTGTTGAAGTATATCATATAAACAGTACTCTGCCAAATTTTCAAAACCTTTGCATTAACTTTTAACTTTCAGTAAAAAGGCTAATTTTTAATAATTAATAAATACATCGAGTGTGCTATGTCACATCACTATTTTAGGTTAATGACCTTACCAGGAGTAATGGCACACTACCTATCTCCTATGTTTTCTAATTTTTTTTTCTATTCTCCTAGTACACACCCACACATACACACTAAGAATGAGAGAGAAAATATACTTAAAAACATGTCTGCGTTTGCCAGTTTACACAGTAAATACTTAACCTATTTCGATCGAAAATAAAATGAAAAGAAATTAAATAGGAATCAAATCATTGGCAAAATGGTATGGTAACCGACGCTGTTCAGCCGGTAGTCTAATTTCAGTAAAAAAAATTATAATACATATTATTATCAACGCGCACATCATTTCATAGCATCGTTTCCGACTCAGCTGTTTCTGAATTACAGATCAAACACCATTTTAAGTAGTACCTATTTATGATAGATAGGTAAAATTTATTTAAACACTGATATACGAGTCTAACTTTTAGTTCATACTTTAATGGTCCGACAAATCTGATTGATATTACGATAATAAAAAAAAAATGATATGCGACATAATTCACAAACGATTTTGGCGTATTTAAAAATAAATATTTGCGAATTACTATTTGTACTTTACCTTTTCACTTCCTTATTCACTGTTTAAGCATTACTTGTGAGGTTCACTCACCTACACTTTATTAGGCACTTAATTTTATTCCACAAGAAAAAACTAAAGATCGCGGCCAACCTCTGGTTCACTGACGTTTCAGTATAATTACATCTTTTCAAAATAGTCTCAATTTATATCAATACAACACTGCATCCCATGTAACACTGATAAAAGCACTTTTCATAGAACTCGGAATTAGAGAACACGGACATTTTCGAAACGTGATCACATCGACGACGTATGAACAACTGAATAAAGAAAAAGTGATAAAAAGGGAAAGCCGCCAATTTGAGTCCTTTATTATAAGCCGCTGCATAGTGTGCGGCATGTCAAAGGCGCACAGAAAGGTACCTATAGTTCCGCAATTAAATCTGAGAAGTAGCGGGATAGGGTTGCCATCTTCTCTTATTAGATCGGAAATTTTGTCCTTAAAGCCGGACTAAGTCAAATCTCTCGCGAAGCCGTAAAACAATATTACCGTAGTAGACAGTAATATTAGTTCACGGCTTCGCGAGGGTTACTGCCTAGTTATTCAGAGGGTGCGTTAAGCAAAAATCACTAACTTTCAATTGATTTTGTAGTAAGACGTAACATACAAATAAGCGGTAATTAAAGATAAGATAACTACATCATAATTTTAACGCTTTTATCACAGCCAAAACGTGAATTCATAAAATAAGGCTTGATCGTAACATCAAAACTGCACAACCTATTTTGAAAAAGGTTTTTTTTATAAAGTAATTTCGGAGACTATACGATGCAAACAAACTAACGATTTGTATTCAAATTTCGCAAATGCCCGTGCAACACTGCGTCTTTTTGGGTATTTGGGTATTTGACGTTTTTCGAATTTGTGTGTATTCATAGTTTATTTGATATAGCTTCGGCACAGGTATACCAAAAACCTATGAAAACTATACCGCCGGACATGTGACATTAACATTTAGCTGCACACAATCTAAAAAGTCAAACATGTCCCGCTAAAGACGGATAGATGACAACCCTAGACAGGCGGCAATGTTAAAGTTTGAGCCTAAACTTCTAGTTGCCTAGTACCGAGGTGATCAACATTTTATTGTACAAATTAAAAAAATCGTCGCAGGACATTGTTGCAACTAATTTTTTTACATACGTACGTAAGTACATAATACGTTACGTATTATGAACGTTACGTATTAGGAATTGTTAATTGACAAAGATTTTGTAAATTTTTATTGTTGCTGATAAGATAGTACATGGTTGTATTTTTAGTATTTACAAATTTAAACGTTGTTAATGTTTGGTAAAGACTAGTTTAAGTGAGAAATGTGATATACTTTCACGCTGCACCTGCAAACGAGCATGCTTGGCTCAGTCTGTAGAGAGGAAGTAGCATCGACTATCATAAGACATCGTTAAATAAATAAATTAATGTATTTCGTGGGCCGTAGTAATCTGCATACAATCGACATACCTGTTTAAAATTTTAATTCATTTTATACACCTTTTCTATTTTGAACTATTTTTCAAATAAATGACCATTTGTTTGTTAGCTGTGTCGGTCGTTTTAGGGCTTTTTCTATTTAAGGAAATAGGTAAACAGTACATAATAAAACGTCTCATTCATTTTCATTTCTTACAGCATTAAAATAGTGAATCCTATACTCTGATTCTAAAATTCAGTTGAATAGCCCACAGTAATAAAATAGATAATAAATTAAAATCCGTACCAAATGTTTACTACTACCGTATCTAGCGTCAAGTAGTCACTCGCGCGCGACATCACACAAACACGAACGATAATGTTTCGTTTCTTTCTCTCTCTCTCTTTCCCTCCCTCTCTATCTCTATCTTACGTCATTGTACACTCGGGGGAATAAGTGAATTTGTTTTAGGCTCGATTTTACCGATTA